TGTTGACCATATACAATTGATTTTCAATCATCTGAGCCATTGACTGAACAAACTTGTGATGCAAGGCTTGAAACTTGACATGAACATTGTTGAAGACCTATGGATAACCATGAAAACAACTTGAGACCCTTGAAACTCATTCTTCCTTGTGCAAGATGAAACCCTAGTTATGGACCCATTACCTAGGAGGAGAATTCGTCTAATCAACTCTTGAGCATCCTTGAGCAAATGAGGACCTCATGAGAAAGTCTTGAAGAAAAATGGGAGGGAAAAATTTGGGGTACAACAACAGGTATTTCCCAAGACAGGTTTTCTCATCTTCTTGCTGTTTATTTCAGTAAAAGATGACTCTTGAACAAACTGTAAAATACCTTCAAGCTCAAAACGCCCAATTCCAAGAGATGCTCCTGAACTTAGCCAAGGGGTAGAAAGAGCTCATCGCTCAGAGATAATGGATAAGATGGAGTTGTATAAAAGGGGATACAACAAAGAAGGAGATGATGATGATGGTGGAGCTAATCTTGATTAAGCCTCTTTTCTGAGTATTTGCTTTATTTTCTATATGTTTTATTATTGTTGGATAATATTATGCTTTGTTTAACACTTAAACTTCTATGATGTATGGTTGAATGTGTATATTTATGATAATGTTTGGTTATTGTACCGTTGGACATATGATGTTTGTAAAAATATTTTCCTTGTTTACTTTCACCCATATTTTTCCCTTATTTTCGACAACGTTCAAAGGGGGGGATGATGTATATTTGTTGCTTCCATGACCTTTCATATTGCTTTAGGTACAAATGATGATCAACCCAAAGCATTTTTAAGATACATATACTTAGGGGGAGAAGATCAACCTAGGTGGAGATATTCCAGAATCAACAAGACATACAAATATTTGTCATCTTCAAAAATGGGGAGATTGTAAAGTCAAGCCTCACTTGGGTATATTTTGATGAAGACAAATATGGTGAAAAGAAGAGAAAAGATTACATCATAATAAAGTCAACAATGAAGACTTTAGAATGAGCTTTAGACTAAGTAAATATTTCATGAATCAAGCTCAATATGAACATCTAAGGTATATTCAATTCAATTCATATACACGTCTTAAGTGCTCAAAGATCATTCATGCATTTCAACCATTCAAAAATTATTTTTTCACTATGAAACATGTCAAACTTGGTTTTAATACAATCTATTGTCATATGTGAATCAATAAATTATATTAAGAACATGCTTTCATAACTTAGAATTTTTTTCTATTTTTCAAGTGAACCAATCAATTGACCTTTTACCATAATCGATTGTTTCAAACTCGATGTTTCTGGAAAAATCAATTTTTCCATTAGACTAATCGATTGTTTCCTTGAAATAATTGATTGTCGTGTCTAAATTTTTAAAATTTTAATGTTACATTTAAAGAGCCAATTGATTGTCTTATTGGTGTAATCCATTGTTGCTGAAGCATTTTCAGTTTTTCTAAAACATTGCCACGCTATTTCATTGTATCTCTTCATGACGACTTTTCTCAAACCATTTCAAACATTTTTCTAATGAAATTTTAAACATTTCCATGATAGATCAATGGATGCTTGTGTTATATAAATAGGAACCAGTTTTTCAGATTTCAAGGTCACCTCTTTCAATATTAAAAAAACACTTTGCATTATTTCTTTCATACCTTTAACCATATACTTTGTGCATATCAATTCCATATCATATCACAAATATCTTGAGCACGTAAGAGTGTAAAATCTTTGAATTGTCATATATTTGAAAGAGAGGGATTATTTATTCAGTTAGAAATTTTCAGAATTATCCATACTCGAGAGAATTCAAAATTTATATGTAACTCATATCAAACTATTGTAACCTGACTCCAAGATTGTTGGATCAAAGTTGTTGAAGAGGAAATAGGTTTTCTTTCTCTGAATTTGTAAAATCACAAGGTGGGGTGCCTTGGTGATTATTGTTAGAAAAGTTAAGAGAGTCGTGGTGTTCGGCTGTAACATTTTCTGACATAGTAAAATCTCTCACGGGGTGTGAGGGGACTGGAGTAGCCTTGTTTGGAAAGGGAGACCATAATATATCTTTGTGTTATTTATATTGTGCACTTTTTTCTTCTAAACTTACTATTAAAGTTTATCAAATAATCAAGAAAAATAAAGAACTCTGATCCTTTGTCTAAAAACCGAAAAAGTTTCTAAAAACCTAATTCACCCCCTCTTAGGCTAAGCTCTAAACTCACACTCAACTTACATTTAGTTAGAGGAACTCAACTGAAGTCTCACCAGGAAGACTCAATTAAAATCTCGCATGAGAAATTCAACTAAAGTCTCGTCAAAATGACTATGTATTAGTATATTAGTAAAAGGCCTACAATGGGCGATGAGAAGGAAAATGGTGTAGCATTTCACCCATAGCTTCTTCCTGGTTGCCCGTTTCCTATATCGATCACCCACTTACTTGATAAGTCTCCCATTTTTAGATAACTCGCTTGAATTTAGAAACAGTGGGAAGTGGCGTGCCCTTAGTCCATAATGGTACAAAGGAAGTCAGGGAGAATTAACCATGATCCCCTAAATAATATGGGATCAGTTACATCACTCCTCCACTCTTGGAAGCGATTGTTATTTTCTTGGAATCTAAGATTCAAGCTTTTCAAGAGCCCCTATAAATATTTTAACCCTAAACGTGGAAAAGAGGGAGGACAATATGATATTCACTCAAATATTAGATACTCGGAGTTTCTCACCTTCTTACATGAACTAACTCTAAACCCTACAACATATAATAAAACTTCTGACAACCCTTAATTACTAGGGACTATTGTATATAATATTTTTATCAAGTAAAATTATTAATATATTTAACTCTATTTTTTATTTGAATGAGTTTGATTAATAATTTTATTTTATATTACTATTTAAAAATAATTTATTTAATAAATCATAATTATTTTATTTTAATTATAGATTTCACGAATTAATGAAAAAATAGAATCTTTATGAAAAAGGGCAACTAAAATTAAAGAAAACAAATAGTTCATTCCACTAAAGTTAAAGAAAAAAATTAAAAGTAAATGATAGGTTAAAATAAATGCAACAGAGATCATACTCATAAAATAGATATTACATGTTGGGTAAAGATCCTCTAATTTTAAAGAGGGAAAATTAGAGTAACTTTAACAAATATTTATATGATATAAAAGAGATATTGGTACTAATTTTGGAAGAAACAATATGTGAGAAAAATAAATCAAAAGAGAGATAGAGAGAAGATTAGAGAAATGTAGAAAAGTGGAAGTTAGAGGATAAGGGATGAGAATGGACATGGTTTGGGTATGGTACTATAGTATACGTTCCTATAGTCACATTTTAAAAAAATATTTGTGTCCGAGTCCAAAATAGCGTGGGCACCAATGTTCATACTTGTACTTGTATCTTAGAGGTATCTAAATACTCATATTCGTGACTGTTTACCCGTGTTTATAGTAAAATTAAATCAATTAATTACAAAAATCATATAATTTAAGTTTATTTTAACAATATTAAAAAAATCATGAATTTTGTTGTTGAGTTAAGAAATAAATAAACACTTTTATTAAAATGTGTAATAGTTTAATAGCGATATATTTTTTAAAAATTGATACATGCATTTTTATGGCGGGATGGGTAGTATGATACCCTTGTCCGCATTCATACCCGCTTATTTTAATGGATAATTACTCGTGTCTGTACTCATTTTAGAGATTTTTACCCGTTATGTTATGAGTAAGGGTGTTCAAAATCGAACCAAATTAATAGAAAACCACAAATCGAACCAAACCAAACCGAATTCGCAAAAAAACACATTTGATTCTGACGTGTTTGGGTCATCTTTTAACAAAATCACACAATTTGGTTCGGTTAGCGGTTTGTATTTTGCAAACCGAATCAAATTGCATTATGTTACAATCTAAATTTTATTTAACTCACATTCAACCCAAACCTAAACCTATTATACTTTAACCTTATGATTACGAACAATTTTTTCCTCCTTACACTTAGGGTTTCAGTTTCGGTCTTCTCAAATCTCTCATAGCATTATCGCGTCTTCTTTGCCACATACATATTGCCTCCTTTTCTCTAATCTCTACTCTCTTATATTCTTTCTTTTTCATCTTCTCATTTTATGCAAATGTTCTCTCTTTTAATTTTGTTTTTATCGCACATCTTCTTCTCTATTCTCTTTTCTCTTATATTCTTTCTTTTTCATTTTCACTGACCTCTCATCTCTTCTATTTTTTTGTTTTATTATAATATTTTTATATTATTTTATGCTATTATTTTATGTTTATTATTTCACTTTTTTCTGATCTAGTTTTACATATTAAATGAGAAGTTGTTGTCTAAATATGATGAGTTTTGTCATTATGTGATAGTGTATGAATGACTAAATACAAAGTTATATTGTCATTTATATGTGTATGTATGTATGATTCAATAAAATATTTATAAAAAATCGAACAAATCAAACCGAACTAAACCGCATTGATTTGATTTAATTTAATTTTTTTTCTAAAAATCAAGTTAATCAAACGAAATTACACGTTTTTTTTCTCCTTACCATTCAAATGACTTTTATCCTCAAAACTGCTCCAACGGCATTAGGAACACCCTTATGAGTATGAGAAAAATAAGCATCACGTTTTGAGTCCAAAAACAACCATCATATGTAGACAAACAAGAAGTGAATGTATCTATTAATAAAAAAAAACTCCACGCGTTCCACATGGAACTCCAATGGAGACTGTACATTGATCATTACTTATTTCGACTGCATATACAAGACGACACAGTTGTAAGATACCATCGCCATTTCAACAAAATAACCAACACCATAACACAACGACGTCGTTTTCTATCCCCTCATTATCATAGTTCACAATGCCAAATAAAAGAGAGTAACAGATTCACAGATCACAAGATCCAGAAGCTTCAATCAATCAATCAATGGAGGTTAAATCCAGAGCTCCCGGTAAAATCATCTTAGCCGGCGAACATGCCGTCGTTCACGGATCAACCGCCGTTGCTTCTTCCATCGCTCTATACACCTACGTTTCTCTCCGCTTCTCCACTCCTTCTTCCGGTACCATCCTTTTCCCCAATCTTATCGTTATTCATTGATGATTATGCGATTTAGTTAGTTTTGATTTATGTGTTATGTGTTATGGTTTAGATAATGAAGAATCGTTGAAACTTGTTCTGAAGGATGTGGATTTGGAATTCTCGTGGCCGATTAGTAGAATTAGAGAAGCTTTTCCTGATTATGTTGCTTTGTTATCTTCAACGCCTGCTTCGTGCTCTGTTGACGGTACCAAATCAATTGAGGCTTTAGTTGAAGAACTTAGTATACCTGAGGCTAAAATTGGACTTGCTTCTGGAGTTTCTGCTTTTCTTTGGTTATACTTGTCTATCCAAGGGTTTCAATCTATAACTCTTCATTTCAATTATTTTTCTTTACTTATATAGTTCAGTTGTTTTTTGAATGTTTTGTTTATATAATTGGCTCATTTGATCTGGACACAGTAAAGTAATGTTAACTGGAACCTGTAGCACTGACACCTCTGGAAAAAAAACCGTGTCGGTGGCTGAAACCGACACCGACACTTGTGGTTATGTTTAATTTATTCATTCTTTCAAATTATTACTGGTGTCGACATGTCAGTGTCTGTGCATGTTTCCGGTGTTGTGCTTCATAGAGTCTAGAACTCATGATTTTGTTATGAATGTGTAAGTGTATAGTGAATATTACTTGATTGAAGACATGACCAGTGTCAAACATATGTCGGTATATGATATTGATGCATGTGTTATATTCAATCGGCTTCATTTTCACAAATTGTTGTTGATGTTTATGTGTCATTACCGTGTTTGTGTTTGTATTTGTGTTTGATTGGTTTTGATTATGTTTCTTTGTTTGTGTAGATATAAGCCTGCTACTGTGGTTATCTCTTCTGATCTTCCTTTGGGTGCGGGCTTGGGTTCCTCGGCAGCATTCTGTGTTGCTCTGGCAGCTGCCCTGCTTTCTGTCACTGATTCTGTTTCTGTGGATGTGTGCCAGCAAGGGTGGCACTCTTTTGGGGAGAAAGAACTTGATTTGGTGAATAAATGGGCTTTTGAAGGCGAGAAGATCATCCATGGAAAGCCCTCTGGAATTGACAATACAGTTAGTGCATATGGTATGCTGCAAACTTTCATCTTCTTTTATTGGTTAAAATTGCAAGATTGAAAGTTTGATACCTGTTGTTAATTTATCCTATTCTCCACTCACATACATATCTGGAACATGACTTTCTGCTTCTTTTTTTTTGCCTGTTCTTAGTGATTACAACCTGAATCTTCTCTTAGATAAAAATGAACTGGAATATAGTTGGTGTGTTTTGAACTTTTTGTGTCCTAGTATAGGCAGAGAGGGTCGATAAATTGTTTTCCTTGAGTGTCTCAACAGTCTCACCTGTAGATAGAAACTATACCTCTGCGTCATGTCAGATTACTAAGGGTTATTGGTTAAGATGAAGTACCTAGATATATAGCAACTTGTCGTCGTCTTTTGTGAAATTATTTCAACAGTTGGTGTGTTTTGAACTTTTTGTGTCCTAGTATAGGCGGAGAGGGTCGATAAATTGTTTTCCTTGAGTGTCTCAATAGTCTCACCTGTAGATAGAAACTATACCTCTGCGTCATGTCAGATTACTAAGGGTTATTGGTTAAGATGAAGTACCTAGATATATAGCAACTTGTCGTCGTCTTTTGTGAAATTACTTCAACAGTTGAATCGAAAATGAATGAATGGGATTTATGATCTTCCCCATCCAAATTGATGGGGAGTAGATAAACTGATATTTCAGTTCAATCTTATTGGGGACCATTATTGCATATTTTAAATGTATTACTGCATTAGGATTTCCATAGTCCCCTATAGGAGAGTAGGGCACTAGTATATCTACTCGTTAAACTAATAATATCAATTTGGTAGTCTTTTGGCTCTTCAGAATTAGACCATTTAAAATCTGAGTCCCCTTAATTAAATAGCAAATACAATTGTATTAATTAATATGATTCCCAAAATCAGAGTAGGAAATTTGAATTCCTGACATTAACGAATTGACTCACTAAAACATAGGGTCTGGTGAAAAATATATCTGTACAAATTCTGATTCTGTTGGAGGAATAATTATTGTATACTTTGTTTACACACACTAGTTATTTCCTCTGAATGTGCAACTAACTCAATAATTATCATCATCAGGTAACATTATCAGCTTCAAATCTGGTAACTTGACACGGATGAAGTCAAATGTGTACCTTAAAATGCTCATTACCAACACGAAAGTAGGTAGAAACACAAAAGCATTGGTAGCTGGTGTTTCGGAGAGAATGCTGAGGCATCCAGGTGCCATGGCTTTTGTGTTTAGTGCAGTTGATTCTATCAGTAAAGAATTGACTACCGTTCTCCAGTCACCTACACCAGATCATCTCTCTGCTACTCAGATTGAAGAGAAGGTAGAAGAGCTAATGGAAATGAATCAAGGTCTGCTCCAGAGTATGGGGGTCAGTCATGCCACAATAGAAACTGTTCTTCAAACAACATTGAAGTACAAGTTAGCTTCTAAGTTGACAGGAGCTGGTGGTGGGGGATGTGTTCTGACATTGCTTCCAACATGTATCCTCTTCACTTATTGTCTTCTTTTCCTCATGCTTCTAAGATTTTCCATTATATTTCTGTTTTTCTTCTTTAGAATTTCTTGTCTACTTTTAGTTCATAGCCTTTTCAATTGGACCTGGTTTTTAAAACAGATATGTTTGGATTGATGGAATGTGATGGAATGGAATGGAGTGGTATTTAATTAGATTTCATTGTTTGGATATGTAAATATTGGAAGGAGCGTAATGGAACATGACAGAATTCATCCTATCCTATTCCATTAAATCCTTCAGTTTTCATTCCACCCAATTTGAGGTAATATGCAATAGAATGAACTAAATTGTTCTATTCCGCTCCGCCAGGTTATAAAATATACACAAACAATGGAATGAAACTCAACAATGGAATGAAACTCAGTTCTATTCTGCTCCGCTCCATCATATTCTATTCTGCTCCGCTCCATTCTAGTCATCAATCCAAACTTAGAAAGAACCAGCCAGGATTATCTGGGGGAGGACGGAATGGTTTCTTTTATAGTTTTTTTCCCCCTATATGTTTATCTAGTCTCAGTTTCTTGTTCACTTCCTTGACATGCTTAAATCAGTGCTATCCGCTACCATTGTTGATAAAGTGATTGCTGAACTGGAGTCAAACGGGTTCCAATGTTTCATTGCCGGAATCGGTGGGAATGGTGTTGAAATTAGCTTTGAGCATTCATCTTGATGTTCTATTTATTTTTCCTAGGAATGAAGTCAATGATCAAGAGATCTGATTAATAAATAGTATTGAAGTACATGTATCTCTTTGTAACATTTTTGTGCATTTTGAAATTCTAGACAAGCCAATATACTGTGGTAGCTCACACTATTGTTAGGGTAGCTCACTAATCAAGCTTGTGCTCTGCTCAGTTTGTTTTGTTTACTTCCATTCCTGATTATATTGTTCATCTAATTGAAAGTGAAATGCAATACTTTTTATTCAGTCAAAGAAAAATCCTTCTGCTTCAATCTTTAGTTTATTATTGGCAAAATATTCATTTTGGTCCCTTAATTTTTAAAACGATGCAAACAAGTCTCTTTCCGCCTACTTCGTTAGGCAAAGTCTGTTAAAAGTCTATATGGAACATTTGACCAACGTAAATGACGGAGTTAACGTCAAAAAAATCAGCGCTAAAAGTTATTCCTGGATTTTAATTATTCATTTTCTTCCCCAAAAAATCATTCTTATTCAACATTAATGTTGAATAAGAATGATTTTTTGGGGAAGAAAATGAATAATTAAAATCCAGATTTCATCAACATCAAACTCATATCGATAATCATTCTCTTATTCATGAATCTTTCATTAAACCCAGAAAATATCCAAAAAATCTACATGCCATCGAATGCTCAACTCTCTCACCACTTTGTGCCGCCACTACCCAAATCTCCTCTCTTCTCTACACCACCTTTTTCTTCTCCATCTAATTACACCAAATTCAATACTATGATGCAATCTGAATGGAAGAGTTGTGATTAACAAGTCCAATGTCCATAAACAGATGAATTGAATGGTTCAGGTGTTGTTGACCTGAGATCGATGAACGCTCTATCAGCATGTATCAGTACAGGCTCGTCGTTACCGTGATCGTGGTGTTGAACGCTCTATCAGCATGTATCAGTACAGGCTCGTCGTTACCGTGATCGTGGTGTTGGTTCCGAGTTACGGTGCTTCATCAGAACAAGGCTCGTCGTTACCGTGATCGTGGTGTTGGTTCCGAGTTACGGTGCTTCATCAGTATAAGACAAGGATATTTGAAGAAGTTTTTTTTTTATTAACTGATATTTTGCCTCTTATACAAGAGTAAATGTGACAGTTATAGAGATTCCTAAAACCTCTCCATAAGGCCACTAACATGATATACAGGCCATGATTTTAGGCATGAATAAACTAACAGCATTGATCGAGTTTAGTTGAATAAATAATAACAAATAATTAAATTAAATAACATTAATTTAATTCTCTAACATGCCCCCGCAAGCTGGACGGCCGACGGGAAAGTCCGAGCTTGTTGATGATAAATTCAAACTGGGGACGGTGGAGAGGCTTCGTCAGAACATCGGCGAGCTGGTCGCCAGTGGAAACATGAATTACCCGGAAAACACCACGTTGCACATTCTCCCGAACAAAGTGATAGGCGATGGCAATGTGTTTTATTCTGGAGTGGAATACAGGATTGGATGAGAGAAAGGTAGCACCCATATTGTCACGATATATGGCAGGTTGATGGATCCTGTGATGGAGCTCTTTGAGGAGAGACATGAGCCAAAGAACTTCGGATGCAGTGTCTGCGAGGGCTCGATACTCGGATTCTGTGGAGGAACGAGCCACAGCTCTTTGCTTTTTGGAGCCCAAGAGATAGGGGTGGAACCGAGATAAATTATGAATCCAGTTGTGGAGACGTAAGTGTCCCTGTCACCAGCCCAGTCGGCATCGGAAAAGGCATGTAATGTTGTGGATGGGCTGGGAGAGTTGGTCGAGGTCGTTGACAACGTGATGCGTTGCACCGCTGTCGACTATGAAGTTTTGAGAGGCGGAGGCAGCAGTGTGAGCTTGAGGTGGGGTATGAGGTGCAGGATTTTTGGGCAATGTTGGAGGACGAGCGGCCGGATGCTATTGGCGGAAGAGAGGACAGTAGGCAACGACATGGCCTATTTCATGACACCATTGGCATTTGCCGAGAAAGGGTCGAGCGTGTTGCGGGGGGGCCATGGGAGGAGTGCGGAAGTGAGTGGAGTTGAGCGGTTGGATGGCTGCTGATGGCGTTGCCGATTGTTTCGAGGACGAGACTGTGCGTTCAGGGCTGGTGCTGGTGCACCCGAGTTGGTTGCTGCAGTGTGGAGTTCATGTTCCCTGACGATGAGCTTCTCGTGAAGCTCGTCAATATTGATGGTGGTATCCTGGGCCTTGATCGCGTCAACAATGGACTGATAATTTCCATCGAGACCTTTGAGGACATAGGAGACAAGGTCGTCATCGTCAACCGGTTTTCCGAGCGAAGCGAGGAGGTCCGCGGTCGAAGTGACCGATTGAATGTATTCAGTGATCGACTTAGAGCCTTTTGTTGAGGAGCGCAACTTTGCTTTGAGTTGATTAAGGTGGCCCTTTGATGGGTTGGCATAGGTGCGGGCGAGAATATCCCATGCTTCTTTTGAGGTGGTGGCTCGAGTGATCAACGGAGCCATAGAGGTGTCGAGGGTACCGACTAGAGCGCCATAAAGGAGTTTATCCTGACGCATCCAGGAATTGAATGCCGGGTTGGGGGTGGTGACGTTGTTGGCAGTGAGAGTTGTAGGCGGAGCTGGGTGGTCGCCGTTGAGAAACTTGAACAGGTCATATCCGGTGAGAGTCGCCTGAATTTGCGACTTCCAGGTTATGTAGTTTGAAGTGGTAAGTTTTATGGCGTTGGTGAAGTGCACAATGACGAACGGTCGGGCGCCGTCGTTTGGGTTAGTAATGGTGGTGGAAAATTCAGCAGTTATGGTGTTTGATTTTAGAGAAGAGATAGATCAACGGCTGATACCATATAAGATAAGGATATTTGAAGTTTTCTCTTTGTTTTTTTATTAACTGATATTTTGCCTCTTATACAAGAGTAAATGTGACAGTTATAGAGATTCCTAAAACCTCTCCATAAAGCCACTAACATGATATACAGGCCATGATTTTAGGCATGAATAAACTATCAGCATTGACCGAGTTTAGTTGAATAAATAATAACAAATAATTAAATTAAATAACATTAATTTAATTCTCTAACAATCAGAACAACTGAGCTCAAGAGAATGCGTCGTTACCGTGATCGTGGTGTTGGTTCCGAGTTACGGTGCTTCATCAGAACACAACTGAGCTCAAGAGAATGTGAGAATCTCGATTAGCAGACTATGCTCCGACTGCAATAAAGTTAAATTAAATCAATTTCAGATTTCTCTCACACTCTAAATTCATTTCAAAAATAATATAATTTTTAACGTTGCTAACTCAATCTTAATAAATTTGAATTACCTTTAAAAATATTGTTATACAATCCTGAACGGTAATTGGAGGTTATAAATTCAGATATGAATACAGATCACCATGTCAATCAATGACACCAGGAACTCCCCCAAAATACCAAATGCAAGATAAAGTGCTTTTGTTCTATTTATCTTTCATCAGTTTCACTATCCATTATGCAATTTAGTAAGTGCTTTTGTACCATTATCTTTCATATGTTTCACTATCCATTAACTTCTGCATGACATTAGTAATCGATTATCCTATGAGCTAGCTTTCTTGAAGATCTAATTGTTTACTCTAGCTCATTTTTCCCCTCACCAACTGGGTTATTATGTTTCAGGTATGTTTTTATAACACAGTTTCTTTAGTCTTATCTCTAACTTTGAACTTTAGCGTATATTGAATTTCAATTATCCTACTGAAAGTGTATTAGCATTTTTTATGGAAAGATAATGAAGACTTTCTGGTAAACACGAAATACTATAACCAATCAACCATAATATTAATTATGACCAGACATATTCCATGTATTTTATTTGATAAGGTTGATACATTTTAGAGCAAAATGTACTGCATATACATCATACATCATACTACATTGGCTTCTGTTCAGCCATTACATACACAACCACAAAAAGCATTGCACATAGATCACGAGCACCACCTATGCATTCACAACGGTTCCACCTGAGAAAATAAAATAAAAAAATGTTAAAGAAAAACCATACAATATGTAAAAGAAAATATAACATGAAGCATATATATATAAATGAATCACCATTTGGGTGGAGGACTTGGCCAGTTATGTAAGAGGAACACTGGTTGGAAGCAAGAAACACAAAGGAAGGAGCAACCTCAATAGGCTGGCCAGCTCTCTTCATTGGCACATCAGAACCAAACTCAGCAGTTTTTTCCTCCTTGAAAGAAGCCGGTATTAATGGAGTCCAAATAGGCCCAGGTGCAACCCCATTCACTCTTATTCCCTTGCTCACAAGCTGTAGTGAAAGTGCCCTTGTAAAGGCCACAATTGCTCCCTTAGTAGACGTATAGTCAATTAGTGTTGGGTGCCCCTTGTATGCATTCACTGATGTTGTGTTAATAATGCTACTTCCCTCCTTCATATACTTCAGGGCATGCCTATATTATTCATATTTAAATCTTTGTTAAGATGTGTAAAGTAAATAAAAAACTTGTACAGTAACATTTATTACCTGGTCAGGAAGAAATAGGAGAAGATGTTAGTTCTGAACACCCTCTCAAGTCTTGGTTCATCAATCTCTTCAACTGAACCACACTCATACTGCTCAGCTGCATTGTTGACAAGAATGTCAATTCTTCCATAAGCTTTGATGACCTCATCAACCACTCTTTTGCAATCCTCATCAAAACCAAGGTCAGCTGGTATAGCCAGTGGATCTTTAGCATTTGCAGTCTTAGTCCTTTTTATCATAGCAAGTGTGTCCTTTGCATCCTTCTCCTCATGCCCCTTCACAAATGTGAAAACCACAGTGGCACCCTCTAATGCAAATAAATTGCATACTGCACGTCCTATTCCAGAGTCACCCCCAGTCACTAATGCTATCTTTCCCTGAAAAACAATGAATATCATTAAATTGGTTGGTTTATTGTATAAATTTATTAATATAGAGACACTGAAATGATGTATATATATACTATAAGCTTAT